CATTCCATTCCATTCCCAATCCCAATCCCAATCCCAATTCCATTCCATTCCTAGTCCAACTGGGCCCAGAGGCAGACTGCCAAATGACGCAGCTTGTGGAGCAGAGACGTAACACCTACTGTAGCTGCCCACATGCTGCACCAGCTTCTGGGTGCTCTTCAAGGGCACCCCCACGTAGAGCATACCAGTGTACCTCCCGGTATGAAAAAAGCCTTCCACCCTACAAACTGTAGGCACTCACCACCTGCACTTATTGGCAAAATCTGTTTGCTGACTTTGACAACTTGGCATGATCCATCAGAAAAAGCTTCCCAGAACAGGTTTATAGGAAACACCTTCCTACCAACTCAGACTTTGGTCCGTTCAAATCCAGTTGTCTCTATCGGCTGGCAGGAGGTGGGTCTCCCTGGAGACGGCCAAGGCCCCACTTGGGGAGGGTTTGTACACAAAGCAGATCCTAAGCCCTGCCTCTTCCTTGGCTACGTGGGGTGTTGGGGCGTTCCTCCTCCCAAGACCCTTATGGACACAGGTGGGCCTGCCACGGATTCTGCAGGGAGGCACCAGGTTTCTTTCTCATTCTCTTTTAAGACACCTGTTTTTTTTCTTTCTTGCACTATTTCAGGGATCCTTTCGCTGGCACACACGGGGGAGGGGTCCACTCCATGGCTGCATCAGGCACACCAGAAGCGTGGGAAGAAGATTTACAATGCAAAGCTCTTATGAGTCCCAAGATAAGCTGAACCTCCACAGCCAGTTATTTTATGTTCTCTTTTGTCCAGTACAATCACTTTTGACTACTTTGCTTCTCAATGAAAATCCACACAGCTTTTCCCGCCAAGACGGGGAAGAATTTTCCTCGTGACTAAAGAATTACTCCTGAAGTCTTAGAAAACAGAATGGACAACAAGCCAAAGAGACATTCAGAAAGATTATAAAGTTATTTCTCCAGCAACTAAATATAGACAGGTCTGTATTGAGTTGCGCGCTGAAAATAGCAGGCCGAAAAGGTTTTCCAACTTCCCGTCCTTATCCCTCTAGCCGGTGATTCCTGGCTGGGGGTGACAATTCTTCCAAAGGAAGGAGGGAGAGGAACTGCAAGCATGCCGCCCCTCCCTCCCTAGTGACCAGGGCAACGCAGAACTTACAAACCCAAGAAGAAAGGTGGCCTTGGACTCCTGCCTCCTGAAAGGCCCAGGCGTCCCTAACTCACTGCCCAGGGCAAGAGCCGTGTGTGTGTGTGTGTGTCAGTCTAAAGGAGGACAATATTGAGGCCACTCAAACCTCTGGAAGGTACGATTCTGGTCGGCATGGAGAAGGCCTGCTGCCTCTCACCCAGTGAGGGTCAGGCAGGGGGCAGACTGAGGCTTGCCTATAAATGCCAGGTGGTCTTGACCCCGTAGCATGATAAGGGTGCCTTGATAGGCTCCCTTATGTGGGCGACTGCTAGTATTCCATCAGGGTCTCTCGTCCTCTCTCTCCACCAGCACCTGTGGTGGCCTTTTCTTGGGTCCCTGTCCTGGGCCTCTTCACTCAACCAGAGAGCCCCAAGGACTGGAAAGCAGGGAGACACCAACCCAAGGGTCTTGGGACCCACCTATTCCAGGGGGAGCTAAGGCCTCAGCCCAACTACCCACCAGACCCCCAGGACAACTGCCAAGTTTCCCCTTGCATCTTTAAAGGCCCAAATCAGGCCTACCAAATGCTTTGACAACCACCATGTGGTTTCTTGCCTTTGAGGCAAGGAGGGGTGGAAGCGGTGGCAGCACAAACAGAAGCTTGGAGAGCCACCGTTCAGTCCAGGCACACGTCTTTCCTGACAAACATCGGTTTGAAAAATGGGAGGCAGCTGGCTGTCCCACTGCCCTGAAAGTGCTGTCCGCGGCCACCCAAAGTTGACTTCCGTAAGGCCAACAGCTGGAGAGAAAGTATTTTGTAGTTTCTGTGCCCATTCTCCCCTGATCAATAAGTGACAGACTTGTGTTAAGTTCTGGGCAGGCACGTGAAGGAATCTATGTCTGGACCCGTGCAAAGCATGAAAATGATCTGGAAGAGGCACTTCAGGTCTCATAGGAGAACAGCCCAGATAAGCAGCCCATTGCTTTCCAGGGTCTTTCAGGACGCTGGTGCTGGGGCCATTTGAGGACGAAGCCCCCCTGTCAAGTCCTCTTCAGTGCCTGTCGTCCTGATACATACGCGCATAGGAAGCAGTGGGGGATCCCAAGCTTCCGTTTTAGGCCCAGAACTTTTCAATATCTTCATGTACGATTTAGATGAAGGGACAGGAGGGGAATTCATCCAATGTGCAGATGGCACCAAACTGGCAGGAACACCCCAGAAGACAGGCTCAAGAGCCAGATGAATCTTGACAGACTTGGACATTGGGCCCTATCTAACAAAACAAAGTTCAGTGTAGAGAAAAATAAGGAACCAAATGTACAGGTACAGATTAGGTGATACCTGGCTCAGTAGCAGTAACTGTGAGAGGAATCTTAAGAGTCCTGGTGGGCAGTCACTTAAATCGGTGCGACAGCAACCCAAAAAGCCAATGCAATCATAGGCGGCATTATCAGAGGGATAGAATCAAGATCACCTGAAGTATTAGTACCACTTGACGATGTCTTGCTAAGACCACACTTGGAATACCGCATCCAGTTTGGGTCATCACAATATGAAAAAGAGGTTGGAACTCTGCAAAGAGTGCAGAGAGAGCAACAAAGATGATTAGGGGGGACGGCTAAAACATGAAGAATGGCTGCAGGAATTGCTCACGTCTAATCTAGTGGGAAGAGCTGACTTGGTAATAGTGCTCCAATATTTGAGGGGCTGCCACAAAGAAGAGGGAGGTCCTTATTTTCCAAAGCACCAGAAGGCAAGAGAAGAAACAATGGTTGGAAACTAACCAAGCAAAGAAGCAACCCAGAACTACGGAGAAATTTTCTGACCCTGAGAGCAATCAACCAGTGGTACGACTGGACCTTCAGAGGTTGTGGGTGTCCCTTCCCTGGAGGCTTTCAAGAAGAGACTGGACGGCCCTTTGTCTGAAATGGTATGCAGTCTCCTGCTTGAGCACGGGGGCTCAATTAGAAGACCTCCATGGTCCCTTCCAACACTGATGATGTTCTAAGCCCTTCCTTCTACCTGCCACTCAAACCAGAGGGTCTTCCCTCACGCCTCACTCTTAATCCTCTTCTGAAATCCGTGTGATATTTCCAAACCAATTGTGAATAGCTGCTCTGGTGCCTCTTTTGGCAGAGGGGGAGACTGAGACCCAAAGGGCTGAAAGAACGAAGCAACTGTTTTACACAGCAAAGGCACGATAGATTTAACAGTGCAAGTATTTGTTAATTACATAGGAGACGAAGAGAATGGCGTTTGGAAATCCAGTTTGGTTTCCCTTTCACAGACAGCATAAGAAGAAAGCTTTTTCAAAATCAAATAATCTGTTCCCCCACTCCCCCTAGTTCCAAAATATGGAAGATGTTTCTCCTGTTTTATGCTAATATGGAATAAAAAGGCGTTTAGGAGAACTGATAAAAGGCAAGATCCTAGCCGAGAGATCTCTGGCTAAACAAAAGGAGGTTGAGGAGCAAAAAAGACCCACCGGAAGCGGCAAACGGGTGAGACTGAAGAGGTTTTGTTTGCAGCAGGTGATAGAGAGAAGAAGTGACTCTCCTGTTCCGTTCAGGGCCGGACCTGGATCATGTTTGGGGTTGGGACAATTGTGTCGTTACTTTTAATCTCCCAGCTGGAGGAACAAAAAAGCACTGCCGGCCAGAGTCTCCTCTCTCTTTAGCCACTTGCAATGGGGCACGTTTTCCTCTGGGACCCTGCTACTCTCTGCAAAGGCCATTCCCCCAGTGGGTCCTTCTCTGGCCCCTGCCCCCCCCCACTTCAGTGGGGAGAAGCAGGCTAAGTAAATAGCTGATTAAACTTCCCTGATGGAGCCAAGGGGCAAGTCTGGCATAGTCCTCACAGAGGTTCAATCTGAGAGGCCATGGACCTGTTACGCTCACCATCTGTCAGGTGTCCAGAAATACAGCAACTCAAAGAACTTTTAGCAAATCCATCCAAATGGTTCCAGCAGTTTTCCGGCAAATACCTGAGGCACAATTACAAATGTTGTGCCAGAATTGGAGCACAGAAACCTCCTCAATGACTGAAAGGAAAATATATGAGACACAGCTGACTTCCAATCACAAGTGCACTGGCTGGTTGGCTAAGAAGTGCTTCTTTGCTAAATGATATCGTAAAAAACCAGTAGATGACTGATTATGGCCAGAAGCCGGAGCTTTAGTGGAGAAAAAATATGACTGGTGCCGGTTAGATGCCCTCTGAAAACTACAGCTGTGTTGCTTTGATTTACAGCCGTACTTATATTACCAAAGATATTGGCACAGAACTGCTGGGCCTTTTCTCTTCCTTGGACCTTTAAAGCTCACGATGCTTTCTTTCCATTCAGCCTACTGAGGAATAAAAACTGCACCAATCACAGGACTAAGAAGAGCTTCCAACGGAGTAAAATCACCTTTGGGGGCTAGTACAGTGAATTCATGATTTACTAGCTAAACTACCCTCCTGTTTTCATGAGGGGGTGGGGGAGAATAGAATGAAAGCACAGTGCCAGTCCTCTCCCCAACCCAACCCATCTAATCCCCCTCTTTGCTCCTGGGGAAGGCAAGGGGGAGGCGGACATCTGACTGAGGAAAGGCTGCTGCTCCCTTCGACCTTCCGCCTCAGGAGAGAAGAAACTAGAGAGCGCTCTGTGAGGGCCCACTGTGACCCAAAGGCCCCCCTGGTCTCCATGAGGCAGGGGACTGTTCACCCTGGAGGCCTATCTCCGATGGGGGGGCCCTTCACGCAAGCCAGCCCTATTCTGCAATACTGTAGTAAACAACGGTGTCTGGAGAGATCTTTACAGCAATACAGACATCACCCTACCCCCCACCCCCACCCCAGCGGTCTCATTCTCCAGAGGACAAATAAATCAAGAATTAATTTACCTTCAGCTGCCCTTTTGAAAAAGACTTTGCAGCTTCCGCAGGTCAGGGCTCCATAGTGGCATCCCGAAGCTTCGTCCCCACATATCAGGCACGTCTTCTGCGGTGGGAAATAATAGTCAATGGGCAGAACGTGGTCCCTCCCGGGTTCCAGCCTTTGGAGGCAAAAGAGAAAAGGGGGGGGAAAGAAGCGTTAGCAGGTGGTTCAGGAGGAGCCAGACTTCACCAGGAGTCCCTAAGCTTGAAACCCCAACAAGGAATCCCGGCTGCCTGTCAACCTTCTCTACGGGCCTCCCAAGAGACGGAATCTGCGCAGGTCCTCGGTGATTTCGGGGGTCTCGTACTGGCCCAGGGCTTCTTGGAAGTCCTGCCCATTTTCTAAATGTGATCATTTAGGAAAAGGCTTTAGAGAATCTCTCCCTTCTCCTGCAAACACCTTTTGAGTGGCGGCTCACCCTAGGACAGAAGAGTAAAACTTGTTCCTTCTCCTGCCTCCCTCAAGGTTCCCTTCCTCTCCAGATGTGCAGCCTCGGCCTCTGGGGAGAAGCGTCAGGATTGCCACAATTCTATTTTACCTTTTTGTTTTAGTACAGCCAAACATTAGTTCTTTCACGTTAGAAATAAATAGAGGTTTCCAACAGAATAGCGGCTATCAAGAAAGAAGAGCGTCCACCTTTCTGTTCTTTTTTCCTTTTAAAATTGTTCACGGTTCTTCCTTATTTTCTTTCCTAATAATCCATATAGATTTTAATCGTGTTAAAATGTCTCCTTGTGATCATTTAGGAAAAGGGTTAAGACAATCTCTCCCATTTCCTGCAAATACCTTTTGACATTTCAATTTTTATTGAGATGTCTTCAACAAAAATTATATTAAAGGAATGATAACCCAGGACAGAGGGTAAAATACAAATGCATTTGTAACCCTTGGCAAAAAGATCTTCAGTTCTGTCCCTTGCAGATGTAGATTCAATGGGCAGAAGATTGGATCCTTTCCCTTTTTTGGGGCACCTTCCTTGTTCATGTGAGGAAGGTAGGAGGGAGGTTAGCTTGGAGGTTGCTGAGTGCTGCAATCACAGGCAGGCCCAACCTCTGTGGTTTGCTCTGCATGGGGCTGCACTTGAGCAGCACTCAGCAACCTCGGTTGGTGCAGAACCAGCTGCCTATTCAATGGTAGGCAGACCCCTAATTGTCCCCTTATGTTGTTCTTGTAGGAGGGGCAATGCTGATTGCCAGCTTGTTTCCAAGTGGCATTTGAGGCACCGATTATCCCCCAGAAGGGCTCAGGACAGGGATCGTTCCAGAGAGAATCGTTCCTTCTGCCATCCAATCAAAAAGGGCCCTCTGTCAGTATCATAGCTGACTGGGGAAGCGAACCTTAGATCAATACGGCGATTGTTTCACAATGTCCAAATTTATAAACATATGAACACACCAGCCTGGTTAAAAAAAAAAGTGTCACCAAGATTCCAAAGATTTTTCTTCGCCTTTAAAGTGCCATTTACTCAAAGAAAAACTTAAGTGCAAGCAGAGAGCAACATTAACGATCACGTACACAATACTTACATGTGCACATATTCCTACAATATTACCTGAAAAGGATAACTCTTTAAGGATAACTTTGACATTCATATAGTATCTGTTCTTGTGCGGGAAATCGAAGCACTTCCATGGCCACTTAGTTCTTAGGTGCCCTGGTAAATAATTCCTACGCATCTTCTTGAAGCGTAATGGAGAGAGAAGGCAGCCGTAGGCACCCCCCAGGCCAGACAGCGGGGAGAGAGGCAAGGTACCACCAGAGGAACCGGGCACACAAACTAGGATGGACTTCTAAACCTAGGTGCGTCCCTGGGAGCTGCTTCTGGTCCTCCCTGGGGCTGGCAGGCCAGAACTGACAAGGACACCAAAGCAATGAGTTCCAATCACACGGTCCAAACCGGGAAGGCCAGCACTCCAACTCTTGTTCTTCCCAAAGGCTCCTTGTATGTCTCATCACACTTGGCCAAATAAAATATTCAATTCAATGTTTTGAGAGTTGTTGGGTTTTTTTTTTTTATTTAAGTCACCCGATGCGAAAGCTGGGCTGGCCCATCAGCAGCACCCGGCAACTGCTTCGGACTCCTTGTCCCGCTTTACGTTCTGGGGCAAGCCCAACCCCTTCCTCCCGAGGGGCTTCTCGGCCACCCAGCCAGCTCTTCACGTCTACCTTCTGCGGACCTGCTTCCCTCTGGCATTCCTGAAGCCTCCTGCCTCCCCGCAGGAAGGCTCACTCGGCAGAGAACTGGCTCCTGCCTGGCCTCCCCTCTGCCCCCATTAGTCTGCCCCAGAGGTGGCGAATTCAGCAGGTTCTGACCCGTTCTGGAGAATCAGTAGCGGAAATCTTGAGTAGTTGGGAGAACTGGCAAATACCGCCTCTGACGGGAGGGAGGGGATTTTACAGTCTCCTTCCCCTGCCACGCCCACCAACCCACGTCCACAGAACCGGTAGTAAAAAAAATTTGAATCCCACCACTGGTCTGCACTGACTTCTTCTCTGCCTTAAAACTCACACAGGGTGGAATTCTGCAAGTCTTTAAGGCGGGGATCCCCAAACTTGGCAACTTTAAGGTTTGTGGACTTCAGCTTTGCTGGCTGGAGCATTCTGGGAGTTGAAGTCCACAAGTCTTAAAAGTCGCCAAGTTTGGAGACCTCTGCTTTGAGGTCTCCATCCGATGCTATCACCACGCAGGGGGCCTCTGGCAGAGAAGAGACTTGAACCCAGGTCATCCAGCCCTAAGGAAGCCTTCAGGATCTCTAAAAGCAACCTCAGTTTCCTTCTAGTTTAACTTCGGACAGAAAACGCGACTAAGCTAAGAAGCCCATGAAGTCGCAGAATTCCTTCCTCGGGCACATCTCCAAGCCAAAGCAGAGAGAGAGAGAGAGGCCTGCAAAATTGGGGGTCGAGTGAGGAAAAAGAGGTTCCCATCTGCGGCAGGAAAACAGGCCTGGCCTCTTTGCAGCACATTTCTACAGTGCAAGACCACAAAAATACCCTTTTAAAACGCAAGCCAAGTGTCCGAGCAAAGATTGGCAACCTAGAAAACCCAGATAAGGCAGAGGGAAGCAGACACAACTTGTGCAGGAATGACGTGAGCCAGAGATTCCACAGAGTTCACAACTAGAAGGTTAAGGCCAAAAATGTTCACATGGTTTGGGACAAAGAGAAAGAAACAAACTTTCACCCTCTTCTTTCTCCTTGGTTTGGGATGGGGGAGAATGATTGCAGGGCTCTTGGGAGCTCTTTCTGAGCCGCAAAATACTGGCATTTTCTTACAACAAAGGACTGCTCTGCTAGCTAGGGGATCACAGGAGCGCTCTCTCTCTCTCTCTCTCTCTCTCTCTCTCTCTCTCTCTCTCTCTC